ACCTAACGTAACCTAACCAGTGCCTAAATATATACTATATGCTAATATAAAATAATATTAATTTATTTATGAGAAAATTCCTGTTTTGAATGAACAGCATGTTAAAATTGATGAATGCGTCTTTGGGGGTCGACCGCTGGATGGAATGAACTTGGTCTCAGAACGGGATGCTGTTTCAAGTTGTATCGAGGGCCGCATCATTCACTCCTTAGCATTTTAAAAGCACCGAATCACCTTCTGTGGTTGAGTGTTCAATAAACCCCTGAATTATATGTTTAACACTTCTCTAACCCTGTCCATGGAGGACAGAAGAAAATGTATATATGCTGGTTAGCATTGTAAATGTCTGGCCACGTCTGTGGTAGAAAATAATAATAATAATAATAATAATAATAATAATAATAATAAAAACTCCTTAAGTTAACACAATATAAACCCACACCTAACCTTACCTAGGTCTAAACCCTATATAAAAGTATGAAACATACTAACATTTATCTGTATTTGAGACCCATTTTTTTACCCCCGATTTATCTATATTCTATGTTAATGGGGTTCCGAATGCACCAGTCAAATGGTGACATGATACTGTCAATGACAGTCTGTTCTTGTACTTCGATGTCAGACTGGAGGATGCGGAGGGAGTCACCGCGAACTGCATTCTTCGCGGAACTGAACTGTCCGAACTCAAGTCGAAAACAAATCATGACGATTTTTATATTCCAAAAGACATTCAGTCGGCGAGTCAAAGGATAGGAATACGCCAGAGGAATATTTACGATAGATAAGGACCATCCCCAAGGATAGATAAGGATTAGGTGGCAGGGGTGGGGGGGGGGGGGTGAAGCCAAGCACTAATACAAATCACTGATCAAGCTGGCTTGGCCCGGGTCAAGCCTGGGCCCCGGGCCGAGGCTTGGGCAGTAAAAGAACTCCCAAGACCCCATCCAGGTCTATTATAGGTATAGGTTAAGTAATAATTGTAATTACGAAGCAATAAGATGCTTATCTTAACATACTAAGAAGGTTAGGTAAGGTCGGTGTTTTCTATGAAGCTTTTCAAAGTAAACTAGTATGTTTAGTATGTCACATATGCACGTATTTAATAAGTCAATATTGACTATACGAAAGTGCGAGAACGGGTTGTCCAGGTACAATCCAGGTACTGAGAAACAGACCAATAGATCCACAGCCTGTCTATAATAAAGGTCAAGAGTTACCCACGGTTTACGGGATCACCATAGCCCGTGCTACATGGACACTTCGTTCTGAGTAGCTGAATCTGAATTAACAATACCCACGACCCCCACGATAAAGATGTTAATTTATCTAACCACGCGACGAAGCGGTCAAAGGTCCAACGACCTTCAGGTAACGATATCAAGTGAAAACCCGTAAAGGATTGACTGATTACTTTACTGCGAATACTCAACCTGTGAGCGGTAGCGCAAAAAAGATTTACGGAAGTAAATAATAGATCTGGCACTCACCTGGCAGCGTCTGGGTGTCGTTGACACACTGGCCAGGTCTTGGCTCTGGCACCTTGGAGGTTAGGACGGGGAGCCAGGCCGAGGACGAAGTCGCCTGCTCCTTGAAGCGGCCCAGGAAGGCCTCTTGGATGTCGCCGAGGCTGAAGGTGCAGATGGCCGAGCCCATGAGACCATTCATACTAGTAGTGAAGACGGCATAGAAGCGGGTATCGTCGCCAGGGATCTTGTAGACAGACTCTGCCAGGGGACAATCCACTTATGTATACACTGAACACTTAAGTGTATGGGTAAGTGTTGACTAAATCACACACTAGAAAGTGAAGGGACGACGACGACGTTTCGGTCCGTCCTGAACCCGACTTGAGAATGGTCCAGGATGGACCGAAACGTCGTCGTCCCTTCATTTTCTAGTGTGGTTTGGTCAACATATTTCAGCCATGTTATTGTAACTCCTCGTCTGCATATGGGTAAGTTATAACCAGTTGGGATGTATTACATTGCAGTGACAGATAACGAAAAATCTTCGAAAATGAAGTCAAATGGGAAAATAGAGCTTTCTAGAGGCTTAATAGCTAATAAATCTTAATTTACACATACACACAAAAAGGAAGCAACACCTAGAAGCGGGTGACCAGTCCAGTGACTGGTCCAGTTACTTGACCAGTCCAGCAACCAAGGGCCAGATTCACGAAGCAGTTACGCAAACACTTACGAACCTGTACATCTTTTCTCAATCTTTGGCGGCTTTGTTTACAATTATTAAACAAGTAATGAGCTCCGAAGCACCAGGAGGCTGTTTATAACAATAACAACAGTTGATTGGCAAGTTTTCATGCTTGTAAACTGTTTAATAAATGTAACCAAAGCCGTCAAAGATTGAAAAAAGATGTACACGTTCGTCAGTGCTCGCGTAACTGCTTCGTGAATCTGGGGCCAGTAGGCCTGGTCGACGACGCGGCCGCGGGGACGCTAAGCCCCGGAAGCACCTCAAGGTAACCTCAAGATAAGGCGTTGACACCCTGGCCACACCACCACCAACAGGGAGTCACCACTTACGGATCTCGTTGAAGTAGAAGGGGAACTCTCCGGGAATGGAGCAGTTGAGACGGGCCTTGAGATAAGTGGCCCAGTTCTGCACCAAGATGTTCTTCCCTCCCGTGTCTTTCTTGCAGACTCTAGCCACGCGAGAATACACATTCTTGCCGCAGTTGATGTACTCGACCGCCGTCTCTCGGAAGAAGAACATAACGTACTCCCCGACTTCGTAGGAGCCCACGAAGTTCGGCTCTGGAATTCAGATCGAAATCATGTACTCCTTAACTCCTTAAGAACCTTCACCGCTCTTATGGTCAACTATACTTTAGAATTATATTATAAATTTATTTTAATATTATAATATTATATTATAATATTAATTATAATATAATATTATAATACATATCGGCTGCCAAATTACATGCTAAATGTTACTTATTTATGACTTAAATGTGTGAAGTAATGTGTGAAGAAATGTGTGAAGTAATGTGTGAAGAAATGTGTGACTTAAATGTGTGAAAATGTGACTTAACTTAGACAAATGCTCTGAACTGAACAGTCGTACAGACTGCTGTACGACTGTTTATTTCAGTCGTTAGTGATTTGTATAAGTTGTTATAGATTTTTATTCTGAAATTGGCAGCTGTAGTGGTTTTTCAATAATTGAAATGTATATTCTATATCTAAATCTTTGAGTTTACAGTATATAATTATAGATATTACATTATTATAATTTTCACTTAGGTAAATCATTTACTGTAAATTTGTGTAAACTAATCCAACTATAAATTGGTTGATGAATAAAACATTTTAATCAGATTCTGATTTTGAATTTAGTAGAGTTGAAGGTTACAATTACTGCAGACAGTCGCTGTGGCTTCCCTCCTTTATATTTCTGACATATAAGGTATACCTGCAAATGTATATAGTGAGTAACCATACAGTATACCTTTACATGTAAACCTTCCCCTTGAAGACCAAAATTACAAGGAAAAATTACACTTAACCAAGTGTCTAGGACCCCAGCACTTTTACCCAAGGCACCAAGTGTCTCTGAGACAATGGGGACAAAATTGTAGTGGTGCTCAAGGTCTCTGTATTTACGTGACTATACATGAAATAGTTGAAGGAGCCGACTTCAAGGACTTCAAGGAAGTCCTTGACTTCAAGAAAGGAGTTAAGAAGAAGTCCTTCACTTCAAGGAAGGAGCTGAGACGTTCTTGACTTCAAGGAAGGAATTGAACCTTTCCCCAGCTGTCTGAGGCAGTCAGCTGGGCAAAGAAATCCGAGCCTTAAAGATGGCGTCCAGCTGTCAAACTCTAAACGATCTCTGTAAACACACTTACTGTCGAGCCACTTGGAGTCGTACTTGATGGTTCTCTTGAAGGGGTACTCCCGCCGCTTGGTGGTGAAGTTATAGAGGTCTGCCCTGAAGATGACGGTGTCTGCCTTAGTGAACTCCGCCACCGTGCCGGAGTAGAGGCCTGGAAGCGCCCCCGGATTCCCGTTCTCCACCCACACCGCCGTGCTATTGTCCATGGGATCGAACGGGCACTTGGCCACGCCGGACCCGATGCCCGTAATGTGTTCATGTCGCGCCAGATGGGTCAAGTTGGCCTGCCAATGACACGTCAACGCTTCAATACACTTTAGTACCCCCCTCCACCAACCATCCGCTCAGAGGGTCATTAACCCCTCACACTAACTACACACGAACCCCTGATAACAACTTGAACAAACTACTACCCAACTCCATTATAAACTTTACATTTTTACATCCAACAGAAAGTATTAAAATGCCTACCATTACTCTCTTTTTTTCAAAGAAATTACATAAAAGGGAACTTCAGTCAGCAAGAAAAACGACTTTCATTCTCCATTTTCTGTTGACAATTATTGATGACAAGAACTTAACGGGTAACTCACGTAGATGACCAGATCCTTGGGGTTGTGGGCGTTGGTACCGCAGATATAGAGACGGTTTCTCGACATGGGTTGGATGACCCGGATGTGATTACGACAGTCGAAGTGCTGGCACACGGGAAGAGAGACACACAGAGACAGTTAGTGATAAGGAAGAGTCAGGTCAAAGGTGACGACAATATTTACACAGCACCAAGCAACGACATTCAATAGACGTCTAACTTATGGGTGGAAATTATTTACAGATTTACAGCAAGTGTTATGGAGAATATCCCAGTCAGGGATATCCCATGTCTGTTATCGTGTGTGTGTTCCAGTCAGGGATATCCCATGTCTGTTATCGTGTGTGTGTTCCAGTCAGGGATATACCATGTCTGTTATGGTCTTATATCCCAGCCAGGGATATCCCATCCTCCCTGGAACTCCTCTTACCTCAGACTTTCCTCTGGAAACACAATTCGAGACACTGGTGGGTTCTAGCACAATGGCGTCCGTCTGAAAGGTACGAAAGATCATTATTAAACAATATATATACTCTATTTTGATCTTAAATAACTGTCATTGTTGAAATACCTGCACATATGCCTGCCATCACACACACACCTGAACACATCTGACACCAATCAATCATGAACACACCAGACATCAATCGCCTGATATACGACCACAACCTCTCGTTCAATTCCGGCAAATGTTGTTTTTAACTCGCTCGAAGTTTTGTATCCGGATCTTTGAACTCTTCTATATATCAAGATCTCACTAGGCGAATATATGACAGTGAAATATTCCCTGAAACTATATTATATTCTTAGGGGGGTGTCTTGGATATATCTTGGAAATTCTCATAGGCTTTCATACCTTAAAGTCAGAATTCAAATGTGAATCGCGTCACCTTTGTCACCTGTTTGAAGATAAAAGTCTTTTCGCAGTCAATGTCTTAGCTTTATGACGCAAGCTATGGAACCAGCGAAATGTTGACTTGTAAAGCTAAGTTGTGACTGAAAGAAATGTTTTAAGAGCTATCGCGCCGTTATAGGGATTCAAATTTGCGACCGTTGGGAAATTAAATGACGGGAGCGGTTAACGGTCCAAGAATTTAAATACATCTCTGGCTGTTGAGCTAATTTAGTACAGTAGGTTGTTGCAATGAATTTTAAAAAATACATTATACTATTAACCAATTAAGTTGTTATTTCACATGTAGTACAACTTTCTCTATTATTATCGAATAAATTGTTTGTTTGAATTACGATGTCGTGACCTAAGATGACCTTTTCCTTCAGGGGGGGGGTCCCTGCCCCCTTTCACCCCTTCCCTAGGAGGTCCCTCTACCCCCTCCCCCCCCCCACACTCCCCAAGAAGGTTCTAGCTCCCCCCCTCTCTCCCCCTCCCCTACCCAAACACACGCGAATCTTAATTAATAATAACGTGATCCGCTTGATCCGCTTTACGGGGCTATTCATGCCCGTGCCACCTCTTTGGGTGGCTTAATCTTAATCAATCAATCAATCAATCAATCTGCTCACACTGGGTATAATCTCCAACCTGTCAACTCCCATCAACTCCACCCCCCCCCCTTTTATCCAAGCTGGGGGGGGGTAGGGAAGGGATCTATCAGGGGAAAAGCGCCAAGCCATTCCGACTATATAGCACTGGGAAAGGGGGGTCAGGAATAAGGCTTGGGGATGGGACGGATGGGAAAGGAATGATGCCCAACCACTTATGGACGGTCGAGGGGGATTGACCGCCGACCTGCATGAAGCCAGACCGTCGCTCTACCGTCCAGCCCAAGTGGGGGGAAGGGAGGGGGTTAGCAAGGGACCCTTACACATGCTTCCTCCCCCCTTTAAGTGTCTTTGCAATGTTGCACTTAGAATTAAATCACCAGGTAGTTAGCAGGGCGTTGGGACACCACCCAGATGTTGCACTCCCCCACTCAGACAATAACGAGTCAACGAAGACCTTGCTAACGGTAGCATTTAGGGAGTGAGTCGCTCGTGCGGATGGTCAACAGGACAGACTACCTGTAACTTACCTGTTGTATGTTTCGAGAGGTTTGTACTCCCCAAGATCGGCCCGAGGCCAGGCTTGACTTGTGAGAGTTTGGTCCACCAGGCTGTTGCTTGGAGCGGCCCGCAGGCCCACATATACCTGGTTGATGGGGTTCTGGGAGTTCTTCTACTCCCCAAGCCCGGCCCGAGGCCAGGCTTGACTTGTGAGAGTTTGGTCCACCAGGCTGTTGCTTGGAGCGGCCCGCAGGCCCACATATACCTGCTTGATGGGGTTCTGGGAGTTCTTCTACTGCCCAAGCCCGGCCCGAGGCCAGGCTTGACTTGTGAGAGTTTGGTCCACCAGGCTGTTGCTTGGAGCGGCCCGCAGGCCCACATACCCACCATAGCCCGGTTGGTCCGGCATTCCTTGAAGGAAACAATCTAGTTTCCTCTTGAAGATGTCCACGGTTGTTCCTGCAATATTTCTGATGCTCTGATCCAATATTTTCTGTTGCTTGGTATAACCAAACTGTGGTATAACCAAACGACGGTATAACCAAACGGTGGTATAACCAAACGACGGTATAACCAAACGATGGTATAACCAAAACGGGGGTTTAAAAATTATGGTATAACCAAACGGTGGTATAACCAAAAGATGGTATAACCAAAATGGTGGTATAACCAAACTGGCATAACCAAACGGTGGTATAACCAAAACGGTGGTATAACCAAACGGAGGTATAACCAAAACGGGGGAACAAAACATATAAATGGAAGGTGAATCTGCCTACCTACGCAGGGGGGAGGGAGAGAGCAGCTGGCGGTCGAGGAGCGGCCAGTCCAGGTTGAAAGTTAGTTCCCCGGATTTTCTTTTTCCTCGACGAAATCCTAAATTGAGGTTTTGCATGAGAGCGCTTGGGTGGGAGGGGGAAGGTGGGATGGGAGAGGAAGGGGGGGGGAGATGGGAGGGGTAAGGTCCCTGTATGGACCGTGGGAGGACAGTCTTGTGTGTGTGTGTGTGTGGAAGGGGAGGAGGGGGGGAGGTTTCTCTCTGATGACCAAAGTCAGAGATCAGGAAGTGAAGAAATGACCTTTCGGTCTGTCTTGGACCAATATCAAGTTTATTCTCTCTCTCTCTCTCTCTCTCTCTCTCTCTCTCTCTCTCTCTCTCTCTCTCTCTCTCTCTCTCTCTCTCTCTCTCAATTCTCTCCCTCCATTAATCTCTCTACCCCTCTCTCCCTCCGCCAATTCCTCTACATTCTCTCTCTCCCTGAATTTTTCTACCCTATTTTCCTCCTTCGAAGCCTCTATCTCTCGTCCTCTATCCTCTCTTTCTCCCTCTGAACCGACCTGAATCTTCCGCCAGTAGGATGCCTGAGGAGGGCTTCGAGAGTTCTATCTACTCTCCCCAAGCTCGGCCTGAGACCAGGCTCGACTTGGGACCTTAACTTGACCTTAACTTGGGCTTAATAAACTTTTTGGTTGTGGTAAGGCCTATCCCAACCGCGGGAGAGTCATTAAGGCCGCTACAATTACTGACTAACCAACCAGTAACTATACTTTTGTCCATGTCTAACAGTAGTCACAATGTATATACTGTAATTGTATCTTAATTACACTGTAACTAATGTAATTGTAATTATACATTGAAAGGTGAGGTGTATACACTTCTATACATACCTGGCGTCTGGTATACATGTTTTTATTCTATGTACAAGGGTTGGCTGAAATACATATACCAGCTATGTATATAGCATGTCAATTATACTGTTAATTATGTATATACGATACGAGTTGTGTATATAGTATGCAAGTCAGGGCTAAGTCACGACAAGTCAAGGACTAAGTCACCAACAAGTCAGGGACTAAGTCACTACAAGTCAGGGGCTAAGTCACTACAAGCCAGGGGCTAAGTCACTACAAGTCAGGACCGTTGCGCACTGAAAAACTGCAGAAAAAAAGGAGATAATTGAAGCGTGTCGTGACTGGTGAGTGTGGGTCTTCCCTTTCCACTTCCCCTTTTCTACCCTTCCCCTCCTTCCTCCCCTTTCCACATGCCTTCTCACCCCCTCTTTCCCCTCCCTGCGCCTGTGCCTACCTTGACTTCCCCTAACTTTCCGACTTCCCTTTGGCCCCAACATTTTTTCCTTTGCCAAACCCCCTTCCCCAAGCCCCCTTCCCTTCCCCTACTTCACTTGCCCATCCCACTTCCCCCTATCCCCCCTCTCTAATCCCCCTTCCCCCTACCCACAGGTTCTATCTCCCCTTCATTCCCTCCCCCATCACCAACACGATATTTACCCATCACAGCACCGCCGTCGCTCTCCGCAATCAGCTGACTGATGTCAACAAAAACACAGCTGACTGATGTCAACAAACCACAGCTGATTGGCGTTTTGCTTCTTCTAGTATGAACGTCGCTTAAAACTTGATATCTCGAATACCCTGTTACCTACAATAGCGATATCGGTATCGTACGTTGGCCGAGAGTTAAATAGGGGATAGACATCGTGGGATACACAATAGGGGATAGACATCGTGGGATACACAATAGGGGATAGATATTTGGGGGTAATCAATGGGGGGGGGGGGGGGGGGGTGAAACTACCTCAGGCGTTCATACTAGGAATAACATGAAAGTGTTTTACTGACAAATAATAAATTATTGTAATTAAAGGAATTGGGTTACATACTACGACCTGGTTTAGTGTGTACTACACAGGTGTGCTATGAGACAGGTGTACAGTGAGGCAGATGTATAATACAGCAGGTATACAGTGAGACAGATATATAATACAGCAGGTATACAGTGAGGCAGATATATAATACAACAGGTATACAGTGAGACAGATGCATAATAAAGCAGGTATACAATGAGGCAGATATATAATACAGCAGGTATACAGTGAGACAGATATATAATACAGCAGGTATACAGTGAGACAGATATATAATACAGCAGGTATACAGTGAGACAGATGCATAATAAAGCAGGTATACAATGAGGCAGATATATAATACAGCAGGTATACAGTGAGACAGATATATAATACAGCAGGTATACAGTGAGACAGATATATAATACAGCAGGTATACAGTGAGACAGATGTATAATACAGCAGGTATACAGTGAGACAGATATATAATACAGCAGGTATACAGTGAGACAGATGTATAATACAGCAGGTATACAATGAGACAGATATATAATACAGCAGGTATACAGTGAGACAGATGTATAATACAGCAGGTATACAGTGAGACAGATATATAATACAGCAGGTATACAGTGAGACAGATATATAATACAGCAGGTATATAGTGAGACAGATATATAATACAGCAGGTATATAGTGAGACAGATATATAATACAGCAGGTATACAGTGAGGCAGATATATAATACAGCAGGTATACAGTGAGACACATAACACAGCAGGTATACAGTGAGACAGATGTATAATACAGCAGGTATACACCAAGCAAACACAAAACAAATCAACTCACCTCACAATTCGTCTGACTAACGTTGTTCATACTGACTCTGATGACTTTGTCCCTGCAAAGATAAAAAAAAAAAAAATTATTAGTATAGAATTCCACACTCTCCCCTTAAGGGGCTTCAACGCCATGCACTTACACTTAGCACTTAAAACAAGCGTCCACATGGCTGGAAATCCACTTAGATTACAAGTGTTGGATCGAAACACATACACACACTTTCCCATGGCTTGTTTAGCTGCTAACCTGGGGCCAGATTCATGAAGCAGTTGCGCAAGCACTTACGAACCTGGGGGGGCAGATTCATGAAGCAGTTACGCAAGCACTTACGAACCTGGGGCCAGATTCACGAAGGAGTTACGAACCTGGGGCCAGATTCACGAAGCAGTTACGCAAGCACTTACGAACCTGGGGGCAGATTCACGAAGCAGTTGCGCAAGCACTTACGAACCTGGGGGCAGATTCACGAAGCAGTTGCGCAAGCACTTACGAACCTGGGGCCAGATTCATGAAGCAGTTACGCAAGCACTTACGAACATGGGGCCAGATTCATGAAGCAGTTACGCAAGCACTTACGAACCTGGGGGGTCAGATTCATGAAGCAGTTACGCAAGCACTTACGAACCTGGGGCCAGATTCACGAAGGAGTTACGAACCTGGGGCCAGATTCACGAAGGAGTTACGAACCTGGGGCCAGATTCACGAAGCAGTTACGAACCTGGGGCCAGATTCACGAAGCAGTTACGAACCTGGGGCCAGATTCACGAAGCAGTTACGAACCTGGGGCCAGATTCACAAAGCAATTACGCAAGCAGTTACGAACCTGGGGCCAGATTCACAAAGCAATTACGCAAGCACTTACGAACCTGGGGCCAGATTCACAAAGCAATTACGCAAGCACTTACGAACCTGGGGCCAGATTCACAAAGCAATTACGCAAGCACTTACGAACCTGGGGCCAGATTCATGAAGCGGTTCCGTCCCTTTCATTCTCCCCTTTCTCTCACTCCAACACCACTCTGGCATCAAGTGTTTTCGAGACCCAAACATCCAATACCTCTTCTGTTTGACTATGCTAATTTGTGCCTCGGACGGTCTGTCCCCCCCCTCTACACACACACACACACACACACACACACACACACACACACACACACACACACACACACACACACACACACACACACACACACACACACACACACACACACACACACACACCTCTACACACACACACACACACCTGTGTGTACTCACCTAGCACAACTAAGTGAGTAAACACACACACACACACACACACACACACACACACACACACACACACACACACACACACACACACACACACACACACACACACACACACACACACACACCTCTACACACACACACACACCTGTGTGTACTCACCTAGCACAACTAAGTGAGTAAACACACACACACACACACACACACACACACACACACACACACACACACACACACACACACACACACACACACACACACACACCTCTACACACACACACACACACCTGTGTGTACTCACCTAGCACAACTAAGTGAGTAAACACACACACACACACACACACACACACACACACACACACACACACACACACACACACACACACACACACACACACACACACACACACACCTCTACACACACACACACACACCCTGTGTGTACTCACCTAGCACAACTAAGTGAGTAAACACACACACACACACACACACACACACACACACACACACACACACACACACACACACACACACACACACACACACACACACACACACACACCTCTACACACACACACACACACCTGTGTGTACTCACCTAGCACAACTAAGTGAGTAAACACACACACACACACACACACACACACACACACACACACACACACACACACACACACACACACACACACACACACACACACACACACACACACCTCTACACACACACCACACACCTGTGTGTACTCACCTAGCACAACTGAGTAAACACACACACACACACACACACACACACACACACACACACACACACACACACACACACACACACACACACACACACACACACACACACCTAGGATACTACATTAAACCAACCTATTGAGGCACTGACAAACCTGGTAACATCAGCGTCATATGCAAGGCTGCCAGACGTCATGATGTAAATGTAAAATTACATCATCACCTTCAGAATGTAAACAAACATCAATTCAGAATGTAAACAAACAATTCAGAATGTAAACAAATATAATTCAGAATGTAAACAAACAATTCAGAATGTAAACAAACATAATTCAGAATGTAAACAAACAATTCAGAATGTTGTCCATACACTAGAATAAAAAAAAAAATCACGAACCTAAATCGAAGGTCATTGAAGGAGGCAAGAAACGCGAGACACATGATCCTGACGTACAAAATATGTTAATATATGTAAAAAACAAACTCCACAGAAGGTCGATACGATAGAGCCCAAGAGAATAGGAAGTAAGAATACCAATCAATGAAAGGTCGAGAGGCGGGACACAGGAGCTAGACCCATTCTTCTACTCCTTGAGCATCAACCTTGGGGTCTGGCCTTACTTGTGAGAGCTTGGTCCAACAGGCTGTTGTTGCTTGGAGCAGCCCGCATATCCACAAGAGCCTGGTTGGTCCGCCACTCCTTGAAGAAAACTATTTTCTTGATTTATGGCGGTACCCCATGTTCTTGAGATGATTTCGGGGCTTTAGTGTCCCCGCGGCCCGGTCCTCGACCAGGCCTCCACCCCCAGGAAGCAGCCCGTGACAGCTAACTAACACCCAGGTACCTATTTTACTGCTAGGTAACAGGGGCATAGGGTGAAAGAACTAAGCCCATTGTTTCTCGCCGGCGCCTGGGATCGAACCCAAGGACCACAGGCCCCATACAAAACAGACCCCACGAACGTCTGAAAATGGGAGGAAGGGAGAGGCGACGAGGTGGGAAGGGGGAAGAAAAGGTGGGAAGGCATAGATAAGCCTTATCCTGTTCCTTAAGGTGACAGGGGGGGGGGGGGCGGGGGAGCTCGGGATCTGCTTCAATGCCCAACAGGCGCGGCCCCTGCCACCAGGTAATGGCGCCCGCCGCCCTCAACGCCCAATTATATGTAAAAATGTGTCACGCCCAACTGGCCCAATAGAACTTGGCTCAGCCAATTCGAATTACCACATGCTGGGAGGGAGCATGAGGGCGGTCAGGACCCCTACCTAGGAGAGAGAGAGAGAGAGGGGGCTAGGACCCTACCTAGGAGAGAGAGAGGGGGCTAGGACCCCTACCTAGGGGAGGGAGGGAGAGAGAGAGAGAGAGAGAGAGAGAGAGAGAGAGAGAGAGAGAGAGAGAGAGAGAGAGAGAGAGAGAGAGAGAGAGAGAGAGAGAGAGAGAGACACAGAGAGAGAGAGGAAGGCTAGGACTGAGAATGGGGGCTATGCCTAGGGCTAGGAAGAACGAGGCGAGCCCTACAGAGAGAGGACAGAAGAATAGAGAATAGACTGGCTTCTGTCCTCTCTATTCTACAGAAAATAGAGTGAGCATAAGCTAGCAATGGAAGAGTGAGTATCAGCACCTCAGGATTGACATTTCTGGAGATGGAACAGACCAAGGGGATGGAGAGTGACCTCATGGATGGAAGGGAGAGAGGGAGAGGGGACTGGAAGATGGATAGGAGAACGCGGGAAGAACAGGAAAGGGGGGGAGAGGGGAGATTTAGAGAGACGCGAGAACGTCGACGATGAGATAATTAAAATGTTAAATCAGGAATCAAACTCCCCGATGCCTTTGATGTTCAATTATAAATGTGTCAGGAGCAAGAAGGAGATGGCGTCAGACCCTGAGCTGACACCCTGGACCTGAGAGAGAGAGAGAGAGAGAGAGAGAGAGAGAGAGAGAGAGAGAGAGAGAGAGAGAGAGAGAGAGAGAGAGAGAGAGAGAGAGAGAGAGAGAGAGAGAGAGAGAGAGAGAGAGAGACAGAGGCAGAGATTTTGTCCATTCCAGATGTTATTTTGTTGTGCAAATTTTGGACCTGGCCCTCCAGCTGTTGTTATTGTTTAATATTCGCTCCCTTGAACAAAAAGTTCCAGGGAGCACGGGCTATGGCGAGCCCGTAGTTGGCCCTCCAGTATCTCCCCCATGTATATATTACGTAATAAGCCTACCAACTGAGGAAGACGCCTCAATCGTATCTACATTCATAGACCATCTTGAGGTTATCTTGAGATGATTTCGGGGCTTAGCGTCCCCGCGGCCCGGTCCTCAACCAGGGCCTCCTTTGTGTTACACACCCCCAGGAAAGCAGCCCGTAGCAGCTGTCTAACTCCCAGGTACCTATTTACTGCTAGGTGAACAGGGGTGAAAGAAAATCTGCCCATTTGTTTCCGCCTCTACCGGGGATCGAACCCGGAACCTCAGGACTACGAATCCCGAGCGCTGTCCACTCAGCCGTCAGGCCCCCTCTCAGCTGGCTAAGTAGAACAGGTCCACCATGGTTGCAGGTGCAACTGGTATCTTGTGGTCCGTGTATCTCCTCTTCCATCTCTCCCTCCCTCTCCCTCCCTCTCCCTCTCTCTCCCTTCCCCTCTCTCCCTCACCTACCTGTCTCCAAGTCCAGTTCAACAGCTTATATCTTGGTTCAAATATCTCCAAGCTAAGCCATTTTAAGCACAATAGTGGTGAACTAACTGTGTCGGGAGTGGACGATGTATTGAGGGGACAGGCGTCGTGGGGGCCCCTCGTCTGCCAATCTCCGACCTTACTTCTGGCATGATAATCACATCCTCATTACAGCCAATCACTTGTAGCTAAATGGTGTATTTTTTGTTTCTTTTAAACAAGTTACCCCTTCTTGTCTGGCCCGTCTGTCCGTTTTCTCTCTCAAGTGTTCACCGATGTTCAGATTTGTAAACAAAATTACCGTTTTAATTAGTGAAATTGGCTGAAGAAACGCGTACAACACTCGTCTGGTGTAAGAGCCTAGTTTAGCATGATTAATGTTATCTTGAGATGATCCGAAATCATCT